ATGACGATTTTCATGTGTGGTACCGCCACGTGTTCGCGGCACGTGACGCGCCCGCAGACACCCAGAGTTGCGTGGATGGAAGGGCCGCCAACGGCTGCTCGCCAGCTTTATATTCATATTTGCTTTTAGCTGGCAAAATGTTAGCTAAATATTAGGCTAGCTCTGGAAGCTTATACGTTAGCCAACTACTTTACACTCAGGTAACAGGGTTTACTAACTAATGTTAGCCCAATCCAAAGTTATCTGGCGGCCCACCCAGAACACGAATTATTACTATATAATATATATATAAATATTTAAAAAACATCAATATAGGAGAAGACGTTTGTTCCGCCAGGTAGAATGTACACATATTTTAGAAGTTACAACTGGCAAACTTTCCCTTGAGAAATCAGTTGCAAAATGATAGCATCAATCTTTTAGCCCAGTATTGATTTAACACACAGGTACTTATATTATACTCTTATAGAAGCTTGCTAAGTTTTGGGGAACAAACTTCTGTTTAAAAATCGGAAATGATTTGATGATGGGAATGTTAATGCAGTGTCTGCGTTTATGTTTAAGGCCCGAGGAAACCATGAAAATCATCAGAGGCAGTGGAAAAATAATCCTCGCACGTGACGCGGCCGCAGCACACCCCGAGTTGCGTGGAGTGTGAGGGCCTGTTCATCGCTGCTTGCAGCTTTAATTCCCTCTTGATGCAGGAAAGCAACTTTCAACCACATCTCACAGTCTCTACCAGTGGATGGAATTCGCTCATTTGTCATTGAGATAGCTCGGCTGTCTCAGTTGGCCTCAGTTTGAAACTTTGGCTGGAACTTTGACAACTGCTTGTTTTCCAAACATCTTAAAACAGCTAGAGTGAAGGCTCTTTTAAAGAGGCCCACTCTCCATCCTTCCAATTTTAAGAATTACGCACCTGTCTCTGCATATCTCCACCAGAACAATCTTCTTGGCCCCCACCAATTTGCTTTCAAGGAAGGCCACTCAACTAATGGTGCACAATCCGGTGAGGAAGTATTGGATACACAGGAACACTGAACACTCTGACTGGTGGGTGACGAAACTGAGTTGGGTGGTGCTTGGTTTCAGATCTGCCGCTTTCAACATGGCAGCTGGCCCAGAAACCTTTATATATTATGGCTAAACAGTACACTAAAATATGTTTTCTGAAAACATTTGAAGCAAGAAATAGGCAATGCAGTAAAATAATCTGAGTCATATTTGATCAGCACTGCCTAGTTTGACAATTTGATGTGAGTTTTGTGAGCCTCTTGTGTTTGGCAGGACAGACTTCATTTGCATTAACTTATGGTTTGAAGTTGAATCGTGTTTGTGCAAATTGCTTTTACAAATATGGTAAACTGTCAGTCAACTTGTATCCGTCATCGCCCGACTGGATCTCCAGCTCTCCATAGAAAATTAACAGGATCCATTGACTTGACATCAGTCTATGGATCCTGTTTGTCTATACCACAAGACTGTCGTCTGTGCCATAACAGAGGAACTCCACCATGCTTGAGCCGCCTCAAGTTCCTCCATCGTCATCCTGCTATACCTTTCAGAAGCATGGAGATCCTCCTTCTTCCAGGGAAGGCATCTCTTGTCCATGACCTCTTTGTTACAATTGAGAACTCCATGGTGTCCCCAGTTCGGACTGGAAGATACCTGGGTGTGACACTGGATGACTATTTCTCCATTGCTGCCAATATGGCTGCGACAACCTGCTCCTGCCAGTTCACTCTCCACTCTCCTCTAAAGGGTTTAAAGTACTATAATTGCCTTCATGAGCTATTGTATGTGTCACAGCCACTGCTGCAGTGCTAACTGTGTTGGCAAGTGGGCTAAATCACCAGGCAAAAGTACAATAATTAATTTTTAGAAGGTTTTTAGAACATCAACTTGCACCTGTCCCTTTCACCTCATACAGTTTTTCAGGGTAATTTGGAGGCAGTATGCCCTCTACTTTTTACTAGGCAGATTATTGAAAAGTGCATTGTAATATATCTGAACACCTCCAAGACACATGTAATGGACTGTATGTCTGTACATAGTTTTGTCAACAAAAAACCCCCCAAATAAATAAATAAAAACACCTAGTGAAGATAAATGGAACTGGACTCTATATACAACCCCTGAGAAATGTTTAAGAATGAGTTCAAATGCAATACAACACACTGTTCAATCTTGTGCCTACCTATACAATAAATGTCCGACCTTAACTTGTCTGCCCTCTTCTACTTCGTACACACCCTCACAGACCTCAAATTTGTCAAAGTGGCAAGGGTCGTAGATTGTACTCCCTGGAGGGCATAGCATATGGGAATGAGGCTAAAATGAAATATGAGGTCTTGAGTCAAGCTCTAATTTCCCTGGGGCTCCACACCTAACCCCAGAATATCTGCTGATTAGAATTGGAGGGTTAACTCTAATAAATTCCAGCCAGGCACCAGTGATTTTTGACAATGGATGGATAAATTGTGTACGTCACCATCTCTCAGTGGCCATGGAGCCTATAAGCAAGAACATACAATCAGCAGTGAGGGAGAAAAAGTGGCACACGTTCAACATTTCACCTTCCTGAGTGCTGCCAGGGTCATATAGGAGAGAAGCTGAAAGAAAAGGCCTGGAGGCAAGCAGGAACTATAAAATAGACATAGCAATTAATTGACAATGTGACCAAACCAGCTGTGAAATATAGGGTCCAGTCTGCCAACGATTAAACTAGATTGGACAAACATGCCCTGCATGTGGGGTTCTGCGGAACCACATTTGATGTTCCGAAACTAGTGCCAACCAATACATGCATGTCAGATCAATATGCACTAATAATGATATACACAGAACTGAATTACTGAATTCACCATGTGAGCAATGACATTTTTGAATCATTGTATACACGTAATCAAAATATTGTCAGATTGGATACGAAAAGGATAAACGTGTCGATAAAGTAGAGATCTTATCCCACGTATACAGCTGGCTTTTAGATTCCACACCAATCTTTCAGACTGATGGTTAATAACAGCTGGTGGGATGGTAATGGGGTGACTCATGACTGAACTCTGATGGTTCAGGGACTTGACTAAGGTTGTGAGAAGTAGATGATTTATGAATAGAAGACCTTGGAATGCCCCATTACTTTCAATTCATGTAGATTTTAGTTGGAGAATGAGAGAGGTAAAAAAGGTAAAAGGGGCAAATTCTATTTCCATAGCTGCCACAAAGGCCTGTGTGATATAAATTATGTCAGCTGCTCATATTCCAGGAGCATCTTTATGGACAACTGCACACAAGACAAATATGAGTATGGACTATACACACCTACAAGTGCACCAACTGCACACTGGCAGTGAAACGCACAACGGAAAGTGGACATTTTAATTTCTACTGTACATTTGTGGAGTCTATGTAGTATGTTAAGAACTGCATGTAGTGGATACCTCTGCTGTCCATGTCTGTTTTGGAGCTTATCAAAACCAGACTCAACTGACATCATATAAGCCTACACCAAACACTCTTATATCCATTTTGTTCACTGCAATGGAAATTATGCGTCCGGGACCTCTTACCTGCCAAAATAAGCAGCAGATGTTTTTTTTTTTGTAATTTAAGTTTTTATTTATAAACATGGTACATAGTTCATTGGGTACAGCTTACATACATAAAAAGGTCAGACAACAAAATAACAAATTGGTTAAGTGTTCCTGGTTACATTTTTTTTTTCTTACAAAAATACAGAGGTACAGGTGTACAAACAAACAGCCTACTAGTTAGAGGTCAGGTAGTGCATAAAGTAACCCCAGCTTCCTAGAACCACTGGTCACCTGCCCCTTATTCTTGTCAACATAATCTCACATGATGCTGTTTCACTCATCAAAGCTTCCCACTCATTAAATGTTGGGATAGTGGGTGCTTTCCAGTGTCTCAAAATAATTCTGGCAGCTGAGGTTGTCCCCACCATCAAAACTGAATGAACGCTTTTGGTCAATTTTTGAATTTCTGTTTTATCTCCCAAACGTGGGGATTATGGCAAGGATATTCCTACCCACGCCTCTAAGAATTTCAATACACTTTGCCAAAATGGGTTGACCGTAGAACATTCACATATGAGATGTATGAATGTTTCCATCTCTGTCTTGCAATTCCAGCATGTGTTGGTACTTATTAGTCCTACATGGTGTCCAGTAATACCGGTGTAGAATTTTAGATTGAGTGAATTTACCTCTAGTTTCCTTGATATATTTACCAGTATCAGCCACAATTTGTTTCCATGTATCTTCATCAATCTGACAATTAAGGTCT